TATTATAAACATTTTAATAAAACAAAGTAATTTTTACAGTTACATTTTTGCATTGTTTCTTTCTCAAACAGTCAGAATTTGGCATGGGGTTATTTGGTTTTGGAGGAGGAATGGATTTTGACTCAGACAAAGCCTACAGGTGAGGCCTCCAAGTATTGTCATGTTAAACAGTTTGGTTTCTTTAGGCCTATTCACAGGCATTGTGAATTTCTGACCAAAAAAGAACACCAAAACTATTCAAACTCATCCTGACATGATACTGATTTTACGTAGGTATTATATATGGGTCATTCTCTCAAAATTGTGCCATTTGTGTCCCCATGACTTACTATTTACTGTATATAACAGGATGCTAAACTTAGTTAACACAGAATGAATTATTCAATAATTTGATTAATTTTATCTGAAATATATAAAATATTGTGTGAAAGGCCCTCAAGTGTGAAAACGTTAAATCATTAAAAGAGTTTTCAATCAATTTAATGCATCGTAAGTGAATAAAATGTTCAAAAAACAAAAAATGTCTTCCAAACTTTAAAAATGGTGTGAATATGCATACAGGTGTTAGTGGGGTCTGAGAAGATTGTATTGATTTTTATTAATTGTTCACAGAGATGTGGCTTACCTGAGCACCTGTGATGACGGCTGCATGGCTCTCGCCGAACTGCTGGGCTGGAAAGTAAATACAGGCATATTCACACACAGATCTGACATTTTATTTGGTAACACTTTATTTTAAGGTGTCCTTGTTACACGTTACGTGTACTTACTATTATAATAACAATTAATTATGCATAGTTACATGCAAGTAACCCTAGGCCAAACCCTATTCCTAACCCTAACCATATATTCCATTTTATTACACATAACTTAATTTCTGAACTTATTTGTTTTATTTTCTGTGTATGTATGGATTACTTGAGTTGTTACCGACATCCGGTGAAAATTTCAAGTCGGCAGCACCTTTAGAAATATATTTACTGGGAAAAATGGTGACGTGTTCAATACATATTTTACCCGCTGTAGTAAGTACATGTAGTTACTCAGTATTCAAATATATAATTACACTGTAACAAGGACACATTAAAAATAAAGTGTAACCTTTTATTTAAATCAGTAATATATTTAATATATTACTAATATATTTATCAGTAATATATTTTGAACTTGAACCGTGTTTGTTGCATGAGATGTCACCCCTCTTGTTTCAGGCAGAGCTGGAAGAGATGGTGAAGCGTGAACATGCTTTAATTGACAGCAAAGATGCCAAAACGAAAGACAAGGAAGCCAATCAGAGCTCCAGAAGCACTGGGGCAGAGGCTGGAAAGAGTGACAAGACCGAATAACCAATCACAGCATGAGGAGGCTGTCTATGTAATTCACTCCACGTCTCGAAGCCAAGTCTGGCCTTCTCGAGTCTACTGTCGATCACATCTTTCTGTTTCTCTGAGCTACTGTGTCTCTCATCTGCCTGTAATAGCAATATAGATAAGTATAGAAATAGTACAGAAACCTCTGTACAGAGCTCAGACAGACAGACAGACAGCACACACTCTCGCAGGGACATGGTGTTATGCTTGGGCCTTGAGGCGGCTTTGATCAAAAAAAGTTTGTGAAGCACAACTATGAATAACAATGCTTTAAATGTAATGTTTTAAAGTTGATAAGTATTACACTTACACTTTATGCTTCATCATATGGGTTTCATTATATCCTGCTTAAAACAAAAGTCTCTGAAACCCAGATTCTCATTACTGTAATGCACCTGCAAGTTTTTCTTTTGAGTTCTTTTTGTAATTCTTAAAATTGTGATTTTGAAGTTAAATTACAGAAAAGCACAAAAGGATGTACAACAAATGCTACCATGCTGTATAAATACTTTATTCTTGCACTACAGTAATGAGAATTGCTTTTTGTGCATTATGATAATGAGAATTTACAAGAGATTAACCATAATACTAATGATGGTTCACGATCTTTTGTCTGACCTTGTCAGTAAGATTCTTTTCTTTGTGCAATCATTTGAAGATTTTAGTATAATGTATTTTTAAAAGGGTTAACGAATGTTTCTTTTAATGAATTATTAACCATCTCTGCATTATGTTAACTATTATAATACATTTTTGATGTTTATTCATTCTCTGTTGCTTATTTTTGGTTTGGAATGATATGTGCGCCTGTGGCTCAATTGTGTAAGAGGAAGTTGGCCTAACAGTGTTTATTACAACATTACAAAGTATGATATCTGATTGAGCCCAATGCAACCTTATGTGAAGAAACCAGAATGAAAGATAAAACCTTCAAGAGTTTTTGTACCGTGTATGCATGTGGTGGGATTTTGTCAAAAGGCATTAAAATAGTTATAAAAAAAAGGATAGTTTGGTCCTGGATGCTGATTAGTGAACAGCATTCCAGCCATGCAAAAATATATCTATAGTAAATAACAGCTATGACATAAAACAACTGTTCCCCTAGTGACTGTGTGTATGACTGCATAACACACACAGGCCAACCTCAGTTTATATGCCAGGTCCTTAACTTTTTAGCATGAGTGTGACACTATAATTTGCTTACCTGATGCTTTGAGCAGTACGTAGTAATATGTACTTTGTTATTGCTTTATTAGTAACACTTTCTTATTAGCTTTTCACACTTACATTTCTTGTTAGCATGCTATAATTACAGTGTGATGAAACTATCTCTGGTTTAAACAACCTTTGTGATCATTAGACAGCATTGAAATGTTACAGTTCTCAAACATTTATTGAAACATTTTAATCTTAATAACTTTTTAGAGATGGCTATGGCTTTACATTTTAATCTTAATAACTGTTTTTAGAGATGGCTATGGGTTTGACCTTAAAGTCAATATGGAATTTATTGTAAGAGGAAATTCAATGAGGAACAATGGGTAACTGTATTCCCTTGAGCTCAATTATTAGCAGAAGAACATATGTTCTCATAAAAAAAGGTGGGGGGGGGTTATTTTGTAACTGCTGGTTTGACTAAAATGAAACCGATCTGAACTGAGCTGCGTGATACTGTTACATATGAAAGTACCACTCGTTTAGCTATAATCGTTCTGCTGTATGTGACATCCTACTTCTATCACTGTCAAGTTTTCACTGTGAGGTTTACCACAACCATGAATATGGGTGGAGCTTATGGTATGAGACACACTAAAAGCATCATCAATTACTGTCACTCTTAAGCTCAAACTGAACTTTAATGTGACTGAAATTGATGCCTTGAACATTTCATACATCACAGGAGCAAAAGTGAATCTCGCTGTCGGCGACGTGACGAAGTACACGACAGATTCGTAATGAGGAGTGTCAGTTACCCCACACGTGAACCTGCAGTGTGTGGAGGTGTTTGGAGCAGCTTTCAGAGATGCTCAGTCTTTTCTTCATGTAGGAGGACATTTTGAAGACACCACATGTGAGTTCAACTCTGACTTCTGTTTGCATTATTACAAGTGAGTTACTTGTTCTTGAGACATGGGCCAAAATAGGCTTTAGAAGTGAAAAAAAAAAAATAATTTAAAGTGTACTATATGTAGCCATAGCCTATCAAGGCATTGTGATGTTCAGAGTTGTTTACTGTAGGTTTTACATTTGGGAACAATCTCCTGCTTCTTCCATTTTCTACAGAAATGTCAGAATTGTTAGAGGTAAAAAAAACAAATAAAAAAAAACAACACTTGCCATGAATAAAAATATTATAAATATTTACATTAAACATGGAGTATAATAAACTGAGAAGATGGGCTGTCGCAGATGGTCAGTTCCTATTCATGACAACTGAACTCACAGTTCAAGGTGATGACAAAATAATTATATTTCGCATATGACACTCAAAAGAAAATCCAATACAGAAACCTGAGACCAGAAATAAACTAAAGCTAACAGATAAAGGCCTACATGTGAAAAAAAAATGTTTCATGTTCATTTGATGTTTTGTCCCAGAAAATGTCATTTAAATTCAGACAACGTACTGTATATATCACAGTTATGACATAATTGTGGCTATGTTGAACTTAGATTAATACATATTTTAATTGACTTCAAGTATTAAGCTGTGTTATAACGATGGGCAATTTTAGTACTTTGACATTAATGTAATAATTGTCAGAATTCCGAAAATCAAATTAGCATTTCTAATTTTTAAAGTGGAGATGTTGCTATTTTAATACCAACAGAAAGTAAAATTCTGAGACAAATGATAAAAGAAACAGAACTTTTTTTATTCACTGGTAATATTTATGTATCATGAAGTATTAGCTTGAGTTTATACTGCATGCTAATTTAACCATTCATACATGATCCATCCACAGTATTATTATTCTAAAGTGATAAATAGCAATAATGAGTAACAATGTGTGCCCAAATGTTTGATAATTTGTTCAATGTTCAACAAGTTGTAAAGGATTTTGTTTTTTTGGCCATGATGGCCATCTAATTTCTGCTCATCACTCCTCCTTCATATTAAAAATAAAAAATAAAAATCGGATTTTAGATTTCACCACTGATAAAAACACATTAGCTGTTAACAAAGAACTGTGACAAAGAAAGAGTGAACGAAAAATACAAATGAAAGGATGTGGGGTTGGAGAGAAACCATATTTCTTCATTTCCTTTGTTTCTCTATTTCTAAATTTCAACAGGGTTACAGCAACATAGCTAAAATGGAGGAGCTTATAACAGAACAGATTTCCTGAACAGGTCCATCGTTATTCTGTTGGACCAATGATGATGAAAGAATCAAAAGATGAATTCACAACCAGTGAGAACAGGTGAGAGAGAACAAGGATACGATCTTCAGTAAATGTAATCACCATTTTATTCCATGTGCATTTTTTAAATGATTTTCTTCAATAGCATGATTAAACACTTTTTTATCAATAGAGAAAATGCTGCTAGCACGGTACCCAACGGGGTCTCCAAAGATAAGACAAAACTCCTGAGTCTGCTGAAAGGTTTACGGTTGTGTCAGGATGCGTGGGCTCCCAAAAGTCCCTGGGACAGTCATGGAGCACACGCCGCTCTGTGGGGCAGACCTGCTGGGGTGGGTGCCTTGCTTTTTATCAGTGCTTACTAATTAAGTTACTAATTAATTAACTGTTTCAGCAGTATTCCCGAAAACCTTGATGTTGTCAGTAATGAAAAAATAAAGTAGTTTTAGTTAAATATAACTTGAAATATAACTCATAATTCAATAATTTAACTTTTTTGTTTTCAGATTCCATCAAATCTAGTCTTACTGAGGCTGGGGGATAGACATAGGTAGTTGTAGCGCATAACCCATGCCTACTGTGGATACAAAAATAGGACCCTAAGAATTATTACATTTTAATTGATACTATTTTATAAAACTATATTGTGGGAAGTCACTGTTCCATTTGGAATTTCCCTGTTTAATATAAGCCATTTCTTTGTCTACGTGTGTAGTGGAAGCATAGTTTTAGTGCACTATTAGGGAGAAGTTTATTCAGTGATTGATTTACGGTAGAGGTTGTCATAATTTCCTGTTTATAACTGTGCTGTAAACTGTTACGCTATGGTGGAATGAAACGCACGAGGAAGATGAAATGCAAAGAGTCTTTAATAAATCCACACAAGGGTAAATCCAGGACAGAACAGGCAGGAGACACACGTAGGGACGTAGTAGACTGGATGAGGGAACACAGGACTGAACACAACTTGAATACATTGGTAAATGAAGATAATCAACAAGACACACCTGAACCAAATAACAATCAGACATAGACGGAAAACTAGGTCTACTGAACACATGGGGATGGAAACATGGGTCCTTGAGGTGTGACAAAAACAATTATCTTTTCATTTTAAAGCTAACTTAAATATAAAGCTAAAGCTTTGATAAACCTGTAATAATGATATAGGCTATTTTAAAGCTGTTGGGGTGGACTTTGAGGGACACTGGACACATACAGTGCATTCAGAAAGTATTCAGACCCCCTTCACTTTTTTCAATTTTGTTATGTTGCAGCCTGATTGATACTACAATTGTTTAAATTCTTTTTTTTCTCATTAATCTACACTCCGTACCTCATAAAGACAAGGTGAAGACAGAATTTTAGAAATGTCTGTAAATTTATTAAAAAGAAAAAACTAAAATAAATACTTAAAAGCTAAAAACTAAAATACTTATTTACATAAATATTCAGACTCTTTGCAACAACATTTCTCTTGATCATTGCTGAGATGTTTCTACACCTTGATTGGAGTCAACCTGTTGTAAATTAAATTGATTGGACATGATTTGGAAAGGCACACGCCTCTCTATAAAAGGCCTCACAGCTGACAATGCATATCAGAGCAAAAACCAAGCCATGAGGTCAAAGGAACTGCCTGCAGAGCTCAGAGACAGGATTGTATCGAGGCACAGATCTGGGGAAGGCTTCAAAAAAAAATTCTGCTGCATTGACGGTTCTCAAGAGCACAGTGGCTTCCATAATTCTCAAATGGAAGAAGTTTGGCACAGCCAGGACTCTTCCCAGAGCTGGTCACCCAGCCAAACTGAGCAATTTATAGAGAAGGGCCTTGTCTAGACTGGTGACCAAGAGCCTGATGGTCACTCTAGTTGAGCTCCATGATCCTATATGCAGATGGGAGAAACGTACAGAAGGACAAACATCACTGTAACACTCCACTGGTCTGGGCTCAATCCTCTCCTCAGTGAAGACATAAGGAAACGCACTTGGAATTTGCAAAATAGCACCTAAAGGACCGTCAGACTCTGAGAAACAAGATTATCTGGTCTGATGAACCTCAATTCTAAGCATCATGTTTGAAGGAAACCAGCTCTGCTCATCACCTGCAGAGTACCATCCCAAAAGTAAAGTGTGCTGGTAGCAGCCTCATGCTGTGGGGGTGTTTTTCAGCGGCAGGGACTGGGAGACTGGTCAGGGTTGAGGGAAAGCTGAATGTAGCAAAGTTCAGCGATATCCTCAATGAAAACCTGTTCCACAGTGCTCAGGACCTTAGACTGGGCCGAAGGTTCACCTTCCAACAGGACAATAACCCTAAGCACACAGCCAAGGCAACACAGGAGTGGCTTAGGGACAACTCTGTGAATGTCCTAGAGTGGCCCAGCCAGAGCCCTGACTTGAACCCTATCGAACATCTCTGGAGAGACCTGAAAATGGCTGTCCACCGACGGTACCCATCCAACCTGCCCAAGCTTGAGAGGATTTGCAAAGAAGAATGCAGAAAATCCCCCAATTCAGGTGTGCAAAGCTTGTTGCGTCATACCCAAAAAGACTCAAGGCTGTAATTGCTGCCAAAGGTGTTTCAACCAGGTACTGAATCAAGGGTCTGAATACTTATGTAAATGTGATATTTAAGTTTTTTCTTTTTAATACATTTTACAGACATTTCTAAAATTCAGTTTTCACTTTGTTATTATGAGGTACGGAGTGTAGATTAATAATAAGAAACAATAATTTAAACAATTGTAGTATCAGGCTGCAACATAACAAAAGTGAAGGGGGTCTGAATACTTTGTGAATGTACTGCATGTCATTCGCCCTTGCGTGTAGTATCGGGCGTGCACAGGAGGTAACACTGGTCTGAAAGCTGAAAGTTTGTTACAATGAACAAAAATATGTCACTTACCTGCTCAGATGGCATGTTTTTAAATATCCATCTTTTCTTCTTCTTACCTATAGCGGCTAATGAATCGGAAGTCTTGCACATTACATCACAGAAAATAGCTTACTTTAGTGTTGCATATAAGAGGTCCTATATTTGTACACGGGTGCCTCAAACCACATTCTTCCGTGCAGAGAATCATTGCCAAGCCATGTTCTTTCGGAAGACGCATGCAGTTTTATCATAATTTTATTTTTGTTTTTTATAACTAGAGGGACTGAATAATGTTATTGAAGTCACAGAAGGAATTGTTCACCTGAAATAAAAACATTTCTGAATATTTACTAACCCTCAGGCCATCCAAGATGTAGATAAAAACATATGTTAATGTTATACAGTCCATCAGTTATAATGTTGTGAAGTAAAAAGCTGCATGTTCATAAAAAACCAATTGTCCTTAAAGGTGTTAAAACGTTGCTACTGACCAAAATACGACTCCATAATATGCTTCCTACAGTCCATCCCCTGTTGTCTTCTCACATCAAAATCTGCTGTTCCAACATATTTGTTTTTTGTGTGTAAATAGTGCTTGATCAGTGCATATTTCTCTCTTGATTCAGACGAGATTACTTTTTCACTGTAGAAAGCAATATTACAAATAGAGGACCGGAAGCAATGGTCAGAAGTTAAAATATCTTGATGGATCTGTGTTTATTACAAACATGCAGCTTTTCATGTCACGCAACATGAATTGATGGACTGGAGTCATGTCGATTACTTGGATTATTGTGACATCAACTCTCATTCTGACGGCACCTGTTCACTGCAGAGGATCAGTTGTTGAGCAAATTATGTAATGCTAAATTTCTCCAAATCGGTTGTGATCTTCAATGGCAAATTTTCAGCAGATGTTTATTTTTGGTTGAACTTTTACTTAATGGTTGGCAGTGTAGTGTAGTAGAGGCTAACTAGCGCCATTAACTGAAGTTTAGTTTTTGTGTTTTCTACAGAATAAAAACTACCGTTATGTTGCAGAAGTAGAGTTAGATAAGCTTGCATAAAGGATGACTGCAAGAGCTCTTAAGGAGAGGCAAAGTGGTGGTGTAAGATCAGATAAAGACCTATTCCAGAGTTTGTGGAAGTGATGATTTATGTTGGTGTTTTCTAACGTTATAGAATTTTACTTTGGCGTTTTTGCTGGTATAACGCTCATTTGTGTCTTTAAAAATAATGATTAAAAAAACAAGATTACATAATATAAAATAAATAAACAAAAGATGATTCCTTTAAAATCTTGGCTTTGTTTTGAATAAAGTATCCAAGGATCTAATGTTTAACATTTTACATAAGTGTTGACATATGTTGAAAGTGTGTGTGTGTAACGTTTTCCCCCCTCCACATTTCAAAACCATGAAATATGCTTTCATATTTACACTATATATAACTAGTGAGTGATGTCAATTATCAGAGGTCTCATTTCACTTCCTTTGTGGTCATTGTAAAGGAGCAAAATCCTCAAACAAAGTTCTTGAAACGTTATTTTTATATTTTGAATTTGAATGAAAGGTAGCTGCTGTGTATATGTTAGACGCATATCCATGATAGGTTTTAATCAACTAAATAAATGCTAATAACTAAAGTAGTTTTCACTGTCATCTATATTTAGATTTTTTTTGGCACCAAACTTTAGTGTGCACTGACTTCCTCTTGTAAGAGTGCTTACCCACAAAGTGAGCATTTCCTTGAATTCAGTGGTTGTTGTATTGCTTATTCAAATGAGTGCTCATCTAATTAGTTTATAAAAATATGACAGTGATACATTATTCTCCATGATATTTTGATCCTCAATGCTCTAAGCATAACAGCGAAATGACTGTTAAATAGCTGTTCATTTACAGAGTTTCCTGGTGGTCCAAGACTCTTCGTCTCAAGACCAGCTTCTGTGTGTGTCTGTGGGGGACAGAGGGGAGCCGGTCAAAGAATTCCCTATCTTAAGCACTGGAACAGGTACCAAAAAGCCTTTTCATCTTTGATTGCTGCTCAGATATGCTATACTCAAGTTTGCAACCACAAGTCAGAATTTAACATGACCTCAAGCATTTGTCATGATCAACATGTTCTCATGACGTTGTCAACTCCTCCATGATCAAATTATCTGAGCTATGCTGTCCACATTTTATAGCTGCATACTATTACTGTCCAGTTGTTGTTGTTGTTTTTTTGTCCTTTTTTAAGTTTGTTTATTTATTTAGATTTTTATGAGATATGTATAAGTTTCCTGACATATGAAAGAGCAACCTCAGAGCATTTTTTTTTTTTTTGCAAGGAAATGAATGAGCTGTCAGGCATAGTCAGTCATAATGCAATTCTAAAGCATGCAAATTTTCTACATTTCCTGTTACAAACTGACATGGGAAGTACAGTATGGGAATAGTTTGTGCATTGTAGGCTACATGAGACGTTTGTGCAAAGTTCAGTAAACTCTTCTGCACAGTAGTTTGTTCTCTATTTGTGCATGCTGATAAAATTCACATCCTGAACCCTACAGTCTTCCTATTTCCTCATTACATCTGTGTACTTTTGAAGTTCATGACTAGTCTGTCCAGTTTCTCTCTATTACTCATAGTGCTAGTCTGACTCAGTTAGTTCTCTTGTCTTTTTGTTTTTCTTTCATAGCTCTTCACTTGACGGCATCACACCTGGCTTTCCCTGATCTCTTTCAACTGCTGCACTTCTACACAGTGAGCAGGTGGGGCTGAGTTCTTTTTATCTAGCAGTTATTGATAAGGAAGCACGTCTGTTTTGCTTGGTAACAGGATGTTATCACAGGAAACTCTGTGCACCCGTGTTGGATAGTAAATTATATTTAATCTTCTATGCACTGTAAAAAACAACAACTGGTAACTTGCAATGATTCCACCCATAAAAATGTGTTTTGTTGGTATAAATTCATGTGTATAGGTTGGTTCAGTGATGTTAAATAGTATTTTTGACTTGAATAAAACCAGTAATTGTAGACGTTACAAATTTTTGGTTACCATGTCGGACAAACAATCTCAAATAATAAATAATCTGTTTGTTTTAAAATTGTAATTTGGCATAAGATTAAACTTTTAAGGGGCAGCCTGTAATTTTACACCAAATACACAAAATAATGATCTTTAAAAAAGCATCATATGACCCCTTTTTAAAGAAATATTTGAACCTTATTAAATCTGATTAAAAGTTTGTTTGTTGGTATAAAGGTTGTATTAAGGTTGGATCAGTGGTGTTAAATAATATTTATGTTTTTGCTTTATTAAAAATAGTTACTTTTGAAGTGACTTTGAACTTACGATATAAATAATGTTATAAATAATTATTATTTTTTTTGTATTATCTGACATCTGCTACACTTAATTTTCTCTCAGGGATGTTTTGCCTGTCTGTTTATTGGTTCCCTCATGGGTTTACACCCTTAACAGTCTATCAGATCATCTTGTTCCTCTGCTTGGTCCAAGTTAGTACTTGCCCTGTCATTTACTATCCTCTGTACTACACTATAAATGTGCTGTTATGCAAATCGGACGCTCTGGATTACAGTGATTTGTGTGTTTGACCTTTAGAGACCTGGCTGTGCCCCTCTTCAGATCCGCTGATTAGCAGTATGACTCCAGGAACACAAGATATAGCAGAAACGCCAGAAACAATCATGTGCACTATACAGGTGATACAAACCCTCTGACTCAGTGACCTTTACTTTACTTTACTTCTCTGATGTTTTCAGTTTTATAATATTTGTTCAGTATGGTATATGTAACAGCATCATTCAGAACTAATTGTGCTTAGTAATTCCAATTTCAAAATTTTTAATTGGGGTATGTCATAAAGCAGACTACTGTACCTATAAAGATACTGGTTCTTGCCCATGTTTTGTTTTAAGTATTGAACTTGTTTTAGAGAAAATTACTAATCATTTGAGAAAAATAATTGGTATCACTTTATCTTAAAGTGTTCGTGTTTCATGTTACATCTACTTTCTATAGTAGAAACTATACCTTAAAGGGGTGGTTCACTGTTTTTTTTCTAGGCTTGATTGTGTTTATGGGGTGCAGTCTAACATGTGTTAATGCTTCGTTTTTAAAAAAGCGCATTATTTTTCACATAATTTACCTTTAATTTACCTCCACACCACTCTGTCCCTTCTCTGAGAAACGGGCTGATCATTTCCTGCTTTTATGAAGCCCCGCCCTCAGAAATAGAAACAGTTTTTGATTGAAAACAATCAAAATGTGTTGTGATTGGCTAAACCGCCTCTAAACGTCCCTGTTTGTTATTGTCTCATACTTTTAGATATGCTGTTATTTGTAAATGCTACTGCTTATGCAGGGGACGCGAGGAACAGTATTAAGAACCGCTGCTTTAGAACATTGATTTTGAAAATTGTGAATCCATTGGAATCGTTAGAAGACATAATCGCTATTCATATATGAATAGATTTTTACGTGTTTCCATCCAGCGGTTTTTTTACGCAATATCCCAAAATGCGCATAAAAATAGGTGGATGGAAACATAGCTACTGACAATAAGTTATCAAAAGGATTGTAATCCGCCAAATCAGTTGGTAGACAAACAACTTTTTTCGGATGTGGTCTACTATTACTTGTTGAACTTATTGGACTTTTGAGTGCAATGTCCAAACATTAATTTACGGTGCTTTAATGTAAGAAATTCCCCAAACCTGTGTAGCAGTAAACAAGGACATTGAAATGTACTACCGTAACTAATGTATCCATTAGGAATCTATTCTTTTTAATCTTTGCGACTATATTCTATGTGTGGGAGGCAAGACCTTGAAATGATTTCTACTTGTTGGTAGGTTACAGCTGCCAGTGGTGCCATGTGCTTCATCAATCCCTTGTACCTTCAAGAGCATGGTGATGATTGGCTTACTCATTCTTCAGCCAGCACAGTCAATCTTCCAATGAACTTGAGGCGAGACAAGCGGTTAAGTACCACGAGAGCATGGGCAGGAAGAGGACTCAAACAGAGGTCATCTACACTATCTGATGACAACTCTAGCAGCTTTGACCATGACCGAGGTAGTGGCTGTCTTTTATTTCTGTCAGCTCTCTTTTTACTTCTATACTTTCAGTTTTATTTTCAGTTTTCTAATCTTTTCATGTGCCTTTGTCATTTTTGTTAGTCCATTAGGAATCTATTCTTTTTAATCTTTGCGACTATATTCTATGTGTGGGAGGCAAGACCTTGAAATGATTTCTACTTGTTGGTAGGTTACAGCTGCCAGTGGTGCCATGTGCTTCATCAATCCCTTGTACCTTCAAGAGCATGGTGATGATTGGCTTACTCATTCTTCAGCCAGCACAGTCAATCTTCCAATGAACTTGAGGCGAGACAAGCGGTTAAGTACCACGAGAGCATGGGCAGGAAGAGGACTCAAACAGAGGTCATCTACACTATCTGATGACAACTCTAGCAGCTTTGACCATGACCGAGGTAGTGGCTGTCTTTTATTTCTGTCAGCTCTCTTTTTACTTCTATACTTTCAGTTTTATTTTCAGTTTTCTAATCTTTTCATGTGCCTTTGTCATTTTTGTTAGTTTTTTGTTTTGTTTTGTTTAAATACTTCTATTTAGCTTTAATTTATTTACATTTTTGTTTTGGTAATTTTAGTACTTCAACTTATTTTATTTAAGTTTGTTTCTAAGGCACATTTCTAATTATCATTTAAGTTTTTGAAATTTAATGTGAGACACTACAAACAACACAGATTTTTGAATCTGTTTTTGAAAAATCTTGTGCATCTGTCACTGTAGAAATGAATGTCTTTTTGGCTTTTCATTAAGTATTTTTTTCAGACTAATGGGGAAAAAAAACATCCTAAATACACTTTAAAGTGTTTATTTTATAGCAATTTATCTATTTGCGCCTGTAGATTTCAATTACAGTGCATATCTTTAAAGCCTGTTTTCTCAGAATGCTATTTTTCTCCTGCACTGACCCAAAAATCTCTTACATATTGGTAGTATTTTCTGATTTCTATTATCTATCTAATATCTATTAGTTTGTTGTTGTTGTTGTTTTTACCCTGTTCACCTGTGGTGTCTTGCCTTAAGTTTTTCATTAAATATTTATATTTTAAATCATTTTAGTTAAGAATAACAACATTGGTTTCAAGTACCCAACATGTTTAGTTCATTTTAAGTTTAAGCTTTTTAAGATTTTATTTCAGTTTCATTAAAGAAAGTGATTTTTAATATCACATAAATGGAAATATATTCAGTGATTTAGAGAAATGTCCGTCTGAGCTGTATATAAATCTGTTCAGTTCGCTGATGTCAGTTTTATTGGTGTTTAATTTATTTTAAATTCCATTTTTGTTTTGGTAATTTTAGTACTTCAACTTATTTTATTTAAGTTTGTTTCTAAGGCACATTTCTAATTATCATTTAAGTTTTTGAAATTTAATGTGAGACACTACAAACAACACAGATTTTTGAATCTGTTTTTGAAAAATCTTGTGCATCTGTCACTGTAGAAATGAATGTCTTTTTGGCTTTTCATTAAGTATTTTTTTCAGACTAATGGGGGAAAAAAACATCCTAAATACACTTTAAAGTGTTTATTTTATAGCAATTTATCTATTTGCGCCTGTAGATTTCAATTACAGTGCATATCTTTAAAGCCTGTTTTCTCAGAATGCTATTTTTCTCCTGCACTGACCCAAAAATCTCTTACATATTGGTAGTATTTTCTGATTTCTATTATCTATCTAATATCTATTAGTTTGTTGTTGTTGTTGTTGTTGTTTTTACCCTGTTCACCTGTGGTGTCTTGCCTTAAGTTTTTCATTAAATATTTATATTTTAAATAATTTTAGTTAATAATAACAACATTGGTTTCAAGTACCCAACATGTAATGTTTATGATCTGTTGATAAAAAGGCAGATCTCAGTTAGGTAGTGTTATGTAGCTTAATGTCTTTGTTACTTCTCAAAGGATCATTTGAGAAGAATCCAGACTCTCCAGCTACCCCAGGTGGAGTTGTGCTTCGAAGGGCGAGTGGCGCCAGCAAGGAAGACCCCCTAAAAAGAGCAAGTGTTGACTCCATTCAAAGCCCTCTCCCTCAGTCACCACACCGTGTGTCGTGGATAGAAGACAAGATATGGCTGAACTCATCACTTCCTTCCTCTCTGCTTCAACCGCCCGGCTTAGAGCTGGACTCGCTGTCAATCAGCAGTATAGAGGAGGAGTCTGAACCAGCTTTAAGCCCCTCCCCATCCCTGCCTTCGCCCCGCTTCCAGCTGGCAGATAAGATGAAGAACCGCCTCTCTGCCGTGGGTCAGGCTCTAGGTGGACTTGTGTCGCCACAGCGGAGACTGAGTAAACGTGTTCAGGAGATGGCGGAACGGAAGGGTGGGGCTTTTGCAGAGTCTGTCAGGGGATTTGTTGTGCAAACTCTTGCAAGCGGGGTCAGTCCTGGAGTGACCTGCACAGAGATGCTGCAGGAAGTGCGTTCGTCTCTCACTGCTCTGAGGGGAACTCTGTTTGATTGTCCAGAGATCCAAAGCATCACAGACAGCGTCGGAGACACTCCGGATTTTGAGCTGGGTATGACCTGGAGATGTGTTGGGGATCAGTTTATCTGTATTATTTTATCAACAAATACAGTTGAATCTCTGATCTCCATAATAGGCAGGCCTACACAGTGAACATGGGCTTTCTCTGGTCACACTTAAAAATAAAAGTGGTAACACTCTAGTATAGGGACCAATTCTCACTATTAACTAGTTGCTTTTTAGCATGCCTATTATTAACATATTGGCTGTTTATTAGTACGTATAAAGCACATATTCTGCATGACCATATTCTACATCCCTAATCCTACCCAATACCTAAACTACCCAATACCTAACTGCCTTGTTAACTATTAATAAACTTAGAAATTAGAAGTTTATTGAAGTTTTGGCATGCACTCCCCTCAGCATGGTGGCGTGGGTATACCGTTCCCCATAGCGACCCCTAGAGGACGCAGTTCGAAGTTCCCTTGATGGCGTCATAGGCTGTCGCCGGCCAACGTGTTGTTGTTGTTTTGAATGTATGCTTCAGACACGGGTCACATCGAGGCGTTCCCTCATAGTGAAGTCATAGTTAATGGTTTGTTAATGGTGAGAATTGGACCTTTAAATAAAGTGTGAGTTTTGCTAATATATTAGTTATTTTGAAGGAAAGTGCAGGGAAATTGAATGGAAATTAATAGAGTCAAACAGTTTAATTAACAAGTAAGTGAACACACTGAATTCAGCTATCATGCTATCATGGTTCATGTTGCTGTGTTACAAAATGTACTGTATCAGAACACAATTCATAATGCATTACACATTTCACAGCTGTGTCTGTTTTTTTATATATTTGCATATGTGTCTGGAATTACAAAAAAATAAAGCTGCAAACTGAGTGTCCTTAAAGAACAAACAAAAGCTAATGCTATGTGGTTAACAATAGAAAACATGTTTGGTCATGATGATAGTTCATAGCATGTTCTGTTTCTTCATGTCATTCCAGACAGACTGGATGATGATCAGATCAGATCTCTGTGTTTCCTACTGACACACTACAGCAAAAGATGCTGACTTAACTGACTTAAAACCATTTTAGCTGGTGGAAATACTAGTGCTCTAATAATTTTGATTTGTCCTGTACAGAATAACCAACAATTCCAAACATATACACATGGAGGCATTTTAAGCACTTAAAACATCTAAAAACCTCCGTCATTATGTTTCTTCATGTCATTCCAGACAGACTGGATGATGATCAGATCAGATCTCTGTGTTTCCTACTGACACACTACAGCAAAAGATGCTGACTTAACTGACTTAAAACCATTTTAGCTGGTGGAAATACTAGTGCTCTAATAATTTTGATTTGTCCTGTATAGAATAACCAACAATTCCGAACATATACACATGGAGCCATTTTTAAGCACTTAAAACATCTAAAAACCTCCGTCATTCATTAAGGTGTAGATTTATGTTTCATGTTAGGTACGGTCTTCGGGGCAGATGACTTCCTGCCATGCCTGACATGGGTGTTGCTGCGTAGTGATGTAGCTACACTTCAGGTTGACACTGACTATATGATGGAGCTGCTAGACCCCATGCAACTACAAGGAGAGGGTAGGGGGTACACACATTCAAACCCATAAATAAAGTATTTACTGTACTATGCAAAATTCTAGGCAAAGGAGTGAAGAAATGCCATTGTATCTGTCATCAGCCATAGCACAGAAATAATGACAGCTGTTCACTCTGGTTCTTATGTCCTAATAGGGCTGTCAATTGTCAAAATTTTTTTCGAATATTCGTCGAATTTAAAATAAAAATCCACATTCAAATGCAAAAACGTTGCATTCGAAATTTAGTTGTGCGTCAGGCAGCCTTATCAGTGGCGCACAAGATGCGATGACGATGCAAGTGTCGTTGCATTATAATGTTTTTGTTAGCCTATCCAGTTGTAGCCACTAGATGCGACGCTGCTGCGTTGTTCATTAAAAATATTGCGGAAAAAGAGAAAATAAATGTGGAGAAGATCTTGTTTACATCAAAACTGAATCCAAGCCGTTCACAACGCATATTTCGGCGCTGCTGCGTTGTTCATTAAAAATATTGCGGAAAAAGAGAACATAAATGTGGAGAAGATCTTGTTTACATCAAAACTGAAACCAAGCCGTTCACACAGAACGCATATTTCGCTAATTTTCTAGAGGGACATCTATCGCCGTTGCACTCGCATCTCGCACAAAGGAGCCGCGTGTTTAGAAAGCCATGTAAAATTAATGCAATTTCAACTTTGAAAAAAACATATATCGAGACTTTGTGTTTGTTTTTTTTCCCATCCCACTGCATCTCATGTTTTTAAATGAAAAATGTACTCTGTGTGATTGGCTTTCAGCTCTTTGTATTAAACTATGCATACATACATGATGCTGTTTTGTTTATAATTGTTTAAGCAACTTAATTAATTATAATAGGTTTATAAACATTATTTTAAACATTATGCACTTTTTTCACAGATAGTCATGTTATCTTATGCTTTGAATAAACGTGCATTAGTAATATTTTGCTCGATGCGCCCTCTTGTGGCCTCAGAAAAGAAGCCAAAAGCTTTTCTTCACCCGAACTGAAATTATGCATTTTAAATTCGAATTTAATTTGAATTTTGCTAATATTTAAGTATAAAATTCGAAATTAGTTTTTCAGCCATTTTGACAGCCCTAGTAGTTTATATGCAGTGACATCTGTAATGCATTGGTAAGGCAAACACTGTGATTCTTTCAAAGCAATACTCAGTCCAACATGTCAGCTTCTGGCTCAATGACTGTTTGTCTGGACCAAGACCAAGATAGTACATGTAGAGATCGATCCAATGCATTCCCAGTCATCTCAATGGCAGGACCCCTTCTATGTGCACAGTCTCAAGCCCTCTATTTGAAACTACCCTGAAGTGTGTCATAAAGGCCTCTTTAAATTTAGTTTTTCATTTTTATGTTTCTGTTTGGACATGAGCATCCACCATTCAGATGACTGTTACAAAATCACAAAATTTGATTGTGTAAAATTTTTACATTTGCACCAAAATACTGAATGTGCATACTGAATTACACATACTGAAAGAAAATCATAGGGATTTGAAAAAGCATGAGGCTAAATGCTTAAAGAATTTTCAAAACATTTACAAAGATAATTGTTTTATCTATTTGTTGCTTGAAGAAATTAATTTGAATATAAAATATATATAGAATAATAAAAAGAATGACCGTCAGTGGAACTTTCCACCAGAAGGGTGTAGTTTAGTAGTTTTTTTTTTTAAATATTCACATACAAGCGTGTGTAACGTGCATACTGTCTTTCGGTCTTTCTCTCAGGTGGGTACTACCTTACGTCTCTCTACGCTGCCCTTTTTTACATCAGCAGCTTCCGGCCTCGTCTAGCGAAGCGGCAACTTAGCGCAGAAGCACACAGATCTCTCAACCAATGGCACCGCAGACGCACACTGCACTGCAACCAATCACGCCGCAGCAGAAATCGAAGGACCATCAGGAGACACGGGCCAGCAGATGGAAGCCGTAAAACATCAGACGAACGGAACTCTTTGAATGCGAGCACAGAGTCCAGCGGTCTGACTGACGTCATGCCAGCCTCCTCTGACATGCAAGAAACTCTCCAGGGTTTGGATGAAGAGTTAGAGGCGGTAAAGGAAGAAGAGGAGGGACGACAAATACAGTCTAAAGAGACATTGCACCTCACCAGTTCTAAAACAGAAGATAACGTGGGAGGTGATGGAGTAAGCTGGAAAGAAGATAACTAAAATGAGGAATGAGGAAATGGTTAACTTTGAACTTAATAGAGATGCTTGTGAAGGCGAAGCCTGTTACTCAAATTTAAATTTCACCTCAAATCATGCAACTTAATAAGAATTCATGCTGTCATTACTCTAAGCAATCAGATTTTCACTTGTTAGATGATAAAATGAGTGGGGGAAAAAACACCCTGGCAACCATCCACAATACCCTAACATCATGGTTGTGGCTGTTGCATTAGCACTCACATTTTCTTCAGAATTATCTAAATTAAAAATATCGTATTTTTATCATATCATTTTCAAATACATGCTGTACTTTGCTTGACATGGGCCAGTATGCAGCACCTCTAGCAACCACTGTAGCAGGGTTATGCAAAATTAAATTAAGAATGCCTTTTGAGTGAATATGAATTGAATTTAAACTGCTGTAAGTAGTTTCTAAAAATAGGTTTAATTTTTCACCATGAATTACTCATGCACTTGTTATCACACAACACATTTTCTATATACAGAATATTGCTTTATATTTAATAAATTAACTTTAATGACCATGTTGGAAGATTATTTTTTGTTTTATTTTGTCCATCTTGTTGGACTAATGAAATTTCTCTGTTGTGTGACTGACTGTCTTGAATCGGTTTGAATGCAGTCATATTTCCTCTTCCAATCTACTTATGTAGGCCTACTATGAATTAGCTGCCGTTCATCGTGACCACTAGGGGGAAGTATTGTACATGTTATTCTGTGTTCTTTTGCTTTGTTTTTTTTACCAAAAAGATTGCCACTCAGCATTTTCACTGGCCACAATTTTGTTGTTGGGAAATTACGTTTTATATGACTTAATACTGCATACAAAATTTTATTTAAATTGATTTCCAGGTCATTTTTGGCCTATTTAAAGGGCACTTATCCAATTCTTAACCAATTCTTTCCAAATCAAAGTCTTACATGTTGTTAATAATTTCACTTAATATAATAAGACAATATAGGGCTGTTACCAATCAAATTAAATCAGTATGAACAAAATCGATCTTTCCACTGCAGAAGAAACAGAAGTGACTGGAGTGGCATTCAGATGCATTTACACAGACAGTTCAATGTAGCTGAAATATAGCAAGAATGCGTTTAGACTGCAAAATTATAACAGCATAAATAATGTTGTGAGCTTGGTGTTTAAAAATAGTTATTTTTTTAGCTATACAAATTTGAAATGTTGGAAAAAATGCAAAGATAAGCTACTATGAAAGTAAACCGCCAGTAGGTGGCAGCAAGGGACTGTCTTAAATAATGAGTCATTGAAGCATGCCTTCAAACGATTCGTTCAGACGGCTGATTCATTCAAGAATGAAGCAAGCGCCTGTCTTTATGAATGGCCACTGGATCATTGACTCAAATGATTCAACATTCAAAAACACAAATCATTCAGAAACGAAACACCGCTGTGTGTTGTTCAGAGATGCTATGATCTGTTCTGCTATGATCTTTGTTTGGAACTATTTTCATTAACCAAATCGAGCAAAAACAGGCAACGTTGACAGTATATCCTAAATTCAAATATTGAACTAAAATGTATATTAACTACTCGTTTTAACTCTTGTATAAAATGTCAATTTTGCAATCGTGGTTTTCAGGGAAAACTTCACTCTCTTGGTCGTGTCATTGCTTAACTAGGCTGTAATAAATATAAGATCCAAGTGACATTTTTATGTTTCTTCTGTGTGCAGTTGTGTTCAGTTGTTTTAATTTCTCCACGAGATTCTCTCACAGATAGGCTGCGTGAGCTTCAAGTGGCGCGACCTTGTTGTTACTGTTGTTTATCCATTATCAATTGCCGTTTACACCGAATGTATTAAAACCAGAGTCATTCTCGACGAAATTTCGGTGCTTCCCTAATTATATGTTTTAATCAGATTAGTTGTCCGGTCGGGCAAGTAAAATTCTCTTCTTTCACTTGCTAGTGGGAGCAGGGGCGCTTGCTAGCAATTTTGGGCCCTATGAAAGAATATGAGCTTGGGCCCCCTACCGCACCAAACATACACTATATTGCCAAAAGTATTGGGACACCCCCTTCTAATGAACAGGTTTGACTACTTTAGTAATTTCCATGAGTACAAATCTTAATGTTTAAGCATATAATGCTATTCTAGGGAATTGTGTGCTTCTAATTTTATACCAATAGTTTGAACAGGGCCCTTTTCTATTCTAACACAACAATGCCTCTGTGTATAAGGCAAGGTTAAAGGTCCCAGTACTTTTGGCAATATAGTGTACAAGTCAACCTAGCTATTTAAAGTCTTTGTCTGCAATTTAATAATATTGACTTATTACTTTTGCTATTGCTTTTACCATTAGGTATCAGTAACATAGTTAATTCAGAACCTGTTCTATGGACATAGACTTTATGTACCACACTATTCTGCTGATATGGAATGAGTTTGACTACTTAATAGTTATATTAACAGAAATGCTTCACTGGGGCAAACAAAAAAATCCTAAAATAATAAAC